GGGTCTCGCCACGGAAAACTGGCACATTCTCGCAGTCAAAGCGCAAGGAGGCCGAGCTCCACCCACCGTCCCTGGTGGGCCTCCAGACGCCCCCAGCTCACTCTCTCCTCCCACAGTGTCTATCTACACCCGCGTGTGCCCACCTGCACGCTGTCACCAAGGGGTCCCGCCAACCCCAAACCAACTCAATGAAAACCTCGTAAACAAGAGTCGAGTCCGACAAAGATGCTCGTGAAAACACAAATAAACACCTCAAAAGCGATTGCTTCCATGGGGGGGAGGGACAGGAGGATGTGGATGAGAAGGTACAGATTCTGCTTCTAAGGGAGAAGGGGAAGAATTTTGCTTCTGAAGCGTAAAGCGCGGTTTAGCGTTGGTTTTTCTTATTTTAATCCCTTCACGTCCTGGGAGAAACCTGGGCGCGTCACCTTTTCATCTTGGGTCTTCTGCTGATTGGCCTCAACAGAAAACAGACAGAGAGGAGCTCAAATTCCTAATACTTGGGGCTTTTCCTATACGCCAGGGAGCTGCACGAACCTTTGCCAATAAAGGCTGGACGAGCGTGTCCCCCCAAAGGCGTGCCGCCCAAACATGCACCTCAATCTCTTGGGTGTGTTCCCGGCTGCAGCTTCCGGGGGCCACCGCAGCCCCTTCCCACGGAGACCTTCGTGTTCAAAAAATAAGAGGGAAAAAAAAAAAAAAAAAACCTAAGATTCCTTCAGTAACGGTTTATTTTCATTTCGGAAAGTCATCACCTGGCAAGTGGTGTTTCTGGAGTAAGCTTCCTATTTCGTTTGCAATCCAAAAGTTGTTCTGTTTTGTTTGGATTGAAGGGGCCTGGAGGAAAGAACTGTGCCTCCTTAGGCAGGGAATGTATAATACGTTAATAGTCTAGCACTAAACTGCAGCATCCCATCCTGGGCAGAGAGGCGCCACAGGGAACTCACCCTCTTCTGCTAATGTCTCCTCTGAAATGCCCACATTTCTCCCTTTAAAGTCTCAACAGACATAACAGAAGTTTCCATCCAACAAGCACTGACATATTTATATTAAAAAATAGTGCAAAATCTCAACATTTATATAAATAACTCTAAACCCCTGCTTTGTAATTTTTTTTTTTTTTTGTACAAGGTAATACACACTTTCTGAGTTGGCACTCAAAAATTGCCATTTTTTTTCTCTGCTAGTTCAGAAAACAATTTTTTTTAATAGGCCTCTTCTAATACAAAAATACTCCTGCCCTCGCACATACAGTTTCTCTTATATATATTTATATATATAATATTGCAGATCTTTAAACAAAGGTTTGTGCAAATATGTCTTTAAAGTTAAGTGAAATAATCATAAACAAAAAGAAAATAAGCATTCACGCACGCAGCTGAACTAGAAACAAAAAAAAAAAACACTAGTGTAGGATTTTTTTTTTCCTCTTTTGCCTTCAAGACACAGCTCAACAAAGAAACATGGTTTTTTTTTGTTTTGTTTTTTGTTTTTTTTGCAAGCTTTCTAGCTTGTGCATTCAGACCAAACAGAACATGTCAATATTTATACACAGAGAGGTGGGGGAAGGATGGGTACATGTGTTTTCTGTGTCATCCTGTCCTCCTTGCTCTCTTTTCTTCTAAGAAGTGCGGAGTGTTGTGCCTTTTCACCTACGGCTGCCCCAGCCCCGGCCCCCCGGATTCCTAGAGAGGGTGTCCTTTCTGTTTCTCCTTCTCCTTGCTCCAGACCGCTGTGCTCTCCAGATGCGAGATGTGTGCGGGATGGAGCCGGCTGCCCTCCAGCAGGGAGGGTGGCCCGTTGCCCTGATGGTGCTGGAAGGATGCAGACCCGGGGTAGTGCCCGATGACCTCACTGTAGGTGGGGGGCGGCCCCTCCATGCGCCCACCGCTGCCGTAGCACGTGGCGCTGATGCCCGAGTTACTGCTGGGGGGGCAGGGGCCACCCAGCAGGCTGCTGTCCATCAGGTCGCTGTCAAAGATGGTTCTGTTCGGGGGCGCACGCACCGACTCGCGGTTCAGCTCCAGCTGCTGCTCGGGGTCCCGCAGCTGGAGGGTGCAGGGGCCCTGGTAGGGCGGGGGCTCCTCGCCGTCTGACAGTGAGATGGTGGGTGGCAGGTCGATCTCATGCTGCAGGTATGGGTAGGTGGGCTGGAAGCGGTGAAAGCGGTCCCGCTGGGTGAAGGGGGGCACGGTCAGGCGGTCGGCGGGCCGCGGTGGGGCATAGATCTGTGGCTGGGGGGGCAGAGCAGAGGGAGTGAGGTGCTGCCGCCGACTGGGGTCCCCAGATGCAGAGCCTGAGGCAAGGGTTCAGCTCTGCTCCCAGGAGAAGGGGAGAGGAGGAAGCAAGGAGGGTGGGGCAGTGGAGGAAGAGAGGTGCTGCCTCTGACCGGAGTCCCTAGACGCAGAGCCTGAGGCAAGCGTTCAGCTCTGCTCCCAGGAGAAGGGGAGAGGAGGAAGCAAGGAGGGTGGGGCAGTGGAGGAAGAGAGGTGCTGCCTCTGACCGGAGTCCCTAGACGCAGAGCCTGAGGCAAGCGTTCAGCTCTGCTCTCTAGGGAAAGAGAAAGAGGGAAGGAAGATGGCGGGGCTGCAGAGGGAGCTGAGCAAGGACTCAGCTCAGCAGAAGTCGAGTCCCAGCTGGACCCCACAGGGAGCCTGGAGCGTGAAGAGTGCCACAGAGCTGCACCCTGTCCCTTGAAATAGGGCAGCCTCTGCACTGGCATGTTGCACAGATATTGTGGGCTGCTCCCTGAGGGGTGGGGAGCATACACCTTCCAGCAAGAAGACTCCCACCAGCCAAGGGCAAGTGTTCCAAGAAGGGTGCGGTGGGAGCTGCTAGCAGGGGAGGATGGTGCCTGGCCTGGGGAAGAGGCCCTGCTGGCAGGCGGGGCGGGGGGTGGGTCTCACCTCTGGGATCCCACTGGCCGACATGGTGCTCTCCGAGGGCCACAGGCAGCCTTCCTGCATGGGGAGGAGAGTGGACCGGCAGCGTCAGTGGGCAGGCAGAGGCCAGAGAGCAGAGGGCTGAGATTTGGCCTTGACTCTCAGACGTCTCATCTGAACTAGATCTTGGTCCCGTCTGCTGCTCTTTCTCCCCACCCGGACCAGGACATCTCTCGCCAGGATACTCACCCTCACCTCCTCCCTCATCTCGGCTCCCACTGCTGTCCCTGAACACCTGCCCCTCACCCTCAAGCTTTCCAAACGCACAACTGATCCGCGGGTCTTCGCAGCCTCCCTTGGAATACACCCAAATCAACTCCTCAACTGGCTTCCAATGAGGGCCCTGCGCCTTGAGCCCTCCCAGCCTCACGCTCCCTGCCACCACTGTGCCAGCTGGGCGACCCTGGACAAGTTACTTCACTGCCAAGCCTCAGTGTCTGCATCCGAACACACAGTTACAGCACGTGTCTCGTGGATGCACTGACGAATTCAAGGCCCAAACGTGAAAACACCTTGGGACCACATTCAACACTCCCAAGTGTGTGAAAGTGTCCGCTGTTAGTACTGCTCTCCTCTGCGGCCACATGGCCTTTTATCTAATGCACCAACAGGCTGGGCTGTGCCTCAGGGCCTTTGCACTGGCTGTCCCACTGGCTGGCCGGCTCCTTCTCGTTTTGCAATTCCAGTGTCCCCTCCAGTCTGTCTCTTTTCACTTAAAGGGCCTCTTCCCAAGGACTATCTTGCCATCCACTATTTCCTTCACAGCACTTACAGCTGTAATCACCTTGTCTGTGTGTTTATTTACTACTGTTCCGTGGTCTGTCTCTCCCACTGTATCGTCAGCCCCTAATTACAGACAGTGGTTAAGAGCTGGGCTGCTAACCAGAAGGTCGGCAGTTTCAATCCACCGGCCACTCCTTGGAAACCCCATGGTGCAGTTCTACTTTGTCCTATAGGGTCGCTATGAGTCGGAATCCACTCAACGGCAACAGGTTTAATTATAGACAAAGGAGCTTTGGTGGTGCAATGGTTAAGCACTCAGCTGCTAACTAAAAGATCGTCGATTCAAACCCACCCAGTGGCTCTAAGGACAAAGACTTGGCAGTCTGCTCCTGGAAAAATTATAGCCTAGAAAGCCCTACAGAGCAGTTCTGCTCTGTCACATGGGGTGGCTATGAGCTGGAATCAACGGCATCTAATGACAATCATTGAAGGAGCAGTGCCTGAGAAGGGCTGAGCGACGTGCTCCACACAGAACAATTGCTCGGCTGGTTCACCAATGTTGAATGTGGTGCCACTTCTGTGCCTAGTTCTGGGCCAGGAGCTGGGGACAGAGCTGCCACTCGACAAGGCTATTGTCCTTTGCCCTGGAGTTCCAGGCGGGCCCAGAGGTTCCTCCCAGGAGCCCAGGGAGGCTGGTGCTGGACTCTCATCTGCCCAATGGCAGCCAGACTGCGTGGGCTCTCAGTCCCTCACAACCCCCTTGAGAGCTTAAGTCACACTGTACAGACCCCTCACCCCGCCACCTGCAGGCAGCGCCTCTGCTGCTCCACAATAGCCCAGTCAGGGCCGCCCGACAGAGCCTGGGGGAACACGAGCCCAGCTCGGGAGGGCCCACCCAGGCAGGAAGCCCGAGGATGCTCCACACGTCCAGGGCACTCTGCTCTGACTGATTTGGAAAACTCTTCCCAGGCTGCAGGGAACATCTCCCAATTGAGCCAAAGTGCCCGAGAGTCCCACCTCAGGGGAAGAAAGTTGATGGCCGGGAGAGCAGAACCTCATGCCAGGATCTGAGGGACAAGCTCAGACGCCAGCGCTGTGCAGCAACAGGGGAGGGATGCCTTCTTCCTTTGCTTTCACAGCTTTGTTGAAATGTGATTGATATACAATCAACTGCACGTATTCAAAGTACGTTGTTGTTAGCTGCTGTCAAGCCGATTCCGACTCCTAGTGACCCCAGGGCGTGCAGAGAACTGCCCCATAGGGCTGTGGGCTTTCAGAAGCACATCTCCAAGCCTGTCTCTGGGTGGGTTTGAACTGCCAGCCTTTTGGTTAATAGTCGAGCGCCGGATCATCTGCGCCACCTGGGGTCTCCTATTAAATGTGTACAATTGGATCAGTTCTGTCCTGTACATATATGTCCACGATCAAGCTAATGAGCATATCTGCCATTTCCAAGTTTCCCAGGGGCATGTTTTCATGAGAGCTCCCAGGACAGGGAAGGCTTGTATCTTACCTGTGCCCAGGGGACTGCGATCCCCTGTGTGGCCACAAGGGGGCTCTCTGGCACTCAAAACTGTCCCATCAGGAAGGCACTAATTCCATAGACTCGTGGGGGTTGGTATGTTCTAGGGGTGGGGATGCTGTGAGCACACACCATTACTGTTCAGATGGGCATCGATGGCTATTTAATTACTGATATGAGTAACGCCGTATCAATCACGGCCTCAGTGCCAGTCACTGTGCTAAGCCCTTAAAGGACCCTCTCAATTCTCCCAACAAACCTACAGGGCAGGTCCCACAGAGCCAGCAGGTCCCACTGAGTCCAGAGCCTGTGAGTGAGATCAGCCAGCTGGTGAGAGGAAGCACCAGGCCCACACCCCAGCCGGCTGCCTCCAGGCCCCTTGCGGGACGGGCAGGGCCCTGGGTGAGTCAGACACAGCCTGGCCCGAGGCAGCCCAGCCGGGTTGCTTGCCCAGCCCACGTGGGCACCAGGAGGCAAAAGGGGAAGCCAGTGATGTCCCGGAGTGGGAGTGCAAACAGCCCCAAGGCCAGGGTCGATGAAATGTGACCCAGACAAGCCCCTGCCTGACACCTTCTCTGCTGTCCCCAGGCCCTGCCAACCCCTTCCCACCACTGCCTCCCAGTCCCCTCGCCCTGCCTAGAGGGTCTCTGAACAGAGGCTTTAGAAAACACCAGCCAATACCCGGGACCCACCGGGACCAGCAGCCAGCCTCACACCGCCTGACTACCTCCTCCTCCAGGGAGTCTTCCAGGAAGCAGCCACCGGGCCAGGCCTGCCACTGGCTCCCGCTATCCCAGCCTCACTCACTGGACACTCACTGTGTGCCCAGCAGCTGCAAGGCACCAAGCTGAAGACTCCTGCAGCAGGCCCCTCCTTCCTCACGTTGGTTCCCTAACTCAGCAAGGGTCGCCATGTCCTTCCAGATGCGAAAGCCAGACCCACCGGTTGTTCCTGACACCTGCCCTCCCCTTCATCCCGTCATCCCCCTGACTCCCTGGATTTTCCCTCCCACCCCATACTTCTCTGCACCTTCCTCTCCACCACCTGAGCCCAGGTCCCAGCACCTCAGCCTGCTGGACCAGGGAGGCCCCGGAATCCAGGGCTTTTGACTTTTACCACGCAGATGAAACAACTGAGCCCCAAGCTTGTGAAAATGCAGACTCTGGGCTGGGGCCGGGGACTCCGCATGCCTCCAAAGCTTACCAGACGCTGCTGCTGCTACTGGCCCTAAGGCCCTAAAGGGTCTCCAGAGGTCCCTCAGGCCCCACTCTTGCCCCCCACGGCCCTTCCTCCTTCCAGAAGCTGGAGTTACCTCCTTCCCCTCAACCTGACCCTGCTGTTCCCCTCAGACTCTCCAGGGCTCCCTACAGAGGTCCCTGGGTGGTGCAAGCAGTTTGTGCTGGGCTATTAACCTAAAGGTTGGCCGTTCGAATCCAAACTGGTGCCACGGAAGAAAGACCTGGCGATCTGCCACCATAAATATTACGGCCAAGAAAACCCACGGGGCAGTTCTACTCTGTCCCATGAGGTTGCCAGAGTTGGAATCGATTCAAGGGCAATGGGTTTGGTGTTTTGTTTTTATTTTTATTTTTGGGGAGGGGCTCCCTATAGCCTCCAAAAATAGTTCCATCTCCCTGTCAAGACTCACACACCTGCAGACCTCTCTGCAGGCCTGTTTTCTTAAAACTTCTGCTTTCCTTAACGAGAGTATTTCTACCTGTACAATGGGCCCATGACTACCCATGATGCACCACGTGGCTGTGAGGGCTGGGAGCCTCTTTGTGAAGTGCCAGCACGCAGTAGGGCCCATAAACAAGCTCTTGCTATCTGGCCTCTGGGCCTGGCCCCACCCTGCTCTCTCTTCCCTGAACCTCACCAGACCCTCAGGTGTATGTAGACATGCTAACCTGAAGGTCTCACCGGTCCCCAAGGCCAGGTCAGGCATCTCTTCAGGGTCCCCATGGTCCCCTCCTCGGGTCTCTTAGGGGAGGTCACAGCATGAGATGCGTCTGGCACACCCTGTCTGGCAGAGGTGCCCTGGGAGAGCTGGCACATTCTACTTTAGGCCTAAAGAGGCTCCGTTGTTTACCCAGCCAGCATCCCCAGGGGCTCCAGTAGATGGCTGGGTAGACGAGGCCTCCCAGGTGGCCAGCACCCCACTCCCTCCTCTTTCCTTTTAACCCGCCCCCAGCTCTCGCGAGCCCTCGTTTCTCCCCTGTAAAGCGGGGTGAGCCCTCTAGGTCCCCAGGTGCTGGAAGACCCTTGGACGGCAGACGCTGCCCACCACTGGAATGACACAGCAGGTGCAGCCCAGGGGAGCGTGGGCTCCAGAACCACAGCTCCTCCAAGCAGAAATGCTGAGTAAGCCCTCAAACACGCCGGGCCTGGGGCCACCAGTGTTCCCAGTGGCGGGTCGGGTGAGTAGATGCTCTTGCCCTGGTGTGGCAGCCCTGGTGACGCACCTCGGCCGGCTCTGACGTGACAGCTGAGGCGCCCAGACCTGCCACCGACAGGCCTGTGGCTTGGGCCACCACCAACAGGCTCCTTGGCCGATCTGGCGCAGCCCCACAGCCTCAGGGAGCTGCCACCTCCACTCGGTTCAAGTCCTCCAGCACCTGGCCACCCTGGGGCTTGGGGATGTGAGCCGCGTGCCAGCCTTCTCCCCGAAATCCTCAGTCTGTCTGTCACCCAGCCTGCTTCTGTCTCGAGTTGCTAACTGACACATCCCAGCGCCAAGATGGAAACCAGTCAGGATTAACTCCTCCCTCCTCTTTCATTCATCTGCCGAGTAACAGGCCCGTGCAGGCGCAGAGGCCAGCCCCCAAAAGCAGGAGAACGGTGTGGGGTGGGGTCTGAAAAGGAGGCAAGTTCCCCATCCACCTGGTGGCCCCATCCAGCCCTGAGTTGAATCCATGGAGCCCTGGGGGTGCTTCTGGGCTTCTAACGGCAGGTTAAAATGCAGTCTCACAACCAATAGCAAGGATCCCTCCACTACATCGCGTTCTGCCCTTTCTCTTACCCTTCCTGAACACATACACCCCTCTGCTTCCTCCTCATGTCGCTACTTCTCTTCGTCTTCCAGGCTTGGCAGACTGTCCAGGCTAAACCTCTCGGTCACAGCCCTCTTAAGTTTCATTGATGGCTCTCAGTGTAATTTGGAAGGATGTGTGTCTGTCTGTCCAGACCCAGTCCCCCAGGGCAGCGACCTCAGGGAGCTTGTTCAAGGGGTCAACTGTGTTCTACGCACACAGTGGGTGCTTGGTGAGTATTTGTCAAATGGACAGATGGATGAATGAGTGGATGGATGGATGAACAGATGTGTGGGTAAATGAATGGATGGATGGATGGATGGGTAAATGGACGGGTAAACTGATGGACGGATGAATAGATAAGTGGGTAAACTGGTGGGTGGACGGATGAATGAGTGGGTAAACTGGTGGGTGGATGGATGAATGAGCAGGTAAACTGGTGGGTGGATGGATGGATGGGTGGGTAAACGGATGGATGGATGAGTGGGTAAACGGATGGATGGCTGGATGGATGAATGAGTGGGTAAACGGATGGATGGGTGGATGGATGAATGAGTGGGTAAATGGATGGATGGATGGATGGGTGGGTGGATGGATGGATGGATGAATGAGTGGGTAAACTGGTGGGTGGATGGATTGATGGGTGGATGGATGTATGAGTGGGTAAACTGATGGATGGGTAGATGGATGGATGGATGGATGGATGGATGGGTGGATGGATGGATGGGTGGATGGATGAATGAGTGGGTAAACTGACGGATGGGTGGATGGATGGATGGATGGGTGGATGGATGGATGGGTGGATGGATGAATGAGTGGGTAAACTGATGGATGGATGCGTGGATGGATGGATGGATGGATGGATGGATGGAGGGATGGATAGATGGACAGATGGACAGATGGATGAGCAGGTGAAATGCCATCACAGCTGCAGTCGGCACCTCACTGAACCCCAGCGAGGCAGTCTTGATCATCAGCGCCCGCTGCCTGGATGAGGATCAGGGATTGGCTCTGGAACACACCGCCAGGAACTGGCGGCACTGGGATTAAACTCCGGGCCCAGGAAGGCCTTTTCCTGCGCGTTGTGGTGTGATGTGACTCCACGCCCCACACCTGCAGGGTGCTGGCCGAGGGTGGGGCTGTGTCTCCCTCGTCTGGCCCTCTGGGTCCCGCTGCTGCAGGCTCTTCCCCTTCCCCCACCCCTGCCCCACCTGGCACAGAGCCAAATGCTGGCTCTTCAACCCTTCCACCCCGGACCCTCAGGCCTTTTCCTCAACACCCTCTCCTCCATCAGCTGCCCCAGGTACCAGGTACTTAGCACACCGGATCCAGGCGAAGACAAATCGCCCAGCTCGGAATCACACCTCCTGCTCCTCCTTCCCTTCGCTGATTGCACCCAAAGGGCTCATGTCTGCTTATGTCTGCCTCCTCCCTAGAGCGCCAGCTCCCTGCCCGCAAGGACCTCATCTGCCCTGTTACCACATGTCCCCAGGGCCTAGGACAGTGCCTGGCACACAGCAGGTGTGTGGTAAGTGGCTGCCGAGTCAACGGGTTAGTATGTGGCCATGAGCCTCTCTTCCAGCCCTGCCCCTCCCAGCATCTCGTGGAACCACCCGGCAGGCCTTTGCTCCCATTTTACAGAAGCCCCCCAATCCGTGGGGATCCATCCGGAGGAGGGGGACACTCACAGAGGAGAGGGCTTCTTCCCTCCGGCGGCCCTGGCTTTGCCGGCTGATGAGGGAGCGCGCGGACAGCTTGTAGTGGCTCAGCAGGCACGTGATGACCACCACCATCACCATCATCACCACCACGATGATGATGATCTGCACGAACTCCAGCTCCGCTGCGGACACAGGAAAACACAGTGAGACCCGGGACCCCGCCGGCGCCAGCACTGAGCTCAGGGCCCCCCCTTCTAGAACCTGTACCACCCCCGTGGAACGGCGTTTCACTAAAGACCCACCAATGTGGGGGCGTGGCTTTCCAAGCCAAGGAAACTCATGGCACATTTTCTCGGCAGAGTCACAAAATGACATCAGGATTGGCGGGGCAGTGGCAGCTGGGAGGACATGCCAAAGACTGCGCAGGCACCTCCACATCTAGGTACTGACCCCAAAGAGGTAATTACGGAGGTGCAGGAGGCAGCTATTGCTCCCAGCTCTCAAAGCCACGGTAACCTTTCTTCCCCTGCTGATGGGTCTGGCCTACATCTCGGTTTCTACTCGTTTTGATGAACCACCCCCTCTCCAGGGCACGGCTGGCCCCGTTCTTCGCTGTATGCCCAGTGCCCACAGCAGAAAGCCCAGCCCTCCAAAAATACCTGCCCCACAAACGGGACCCTCGGCGGGAATGTCTGAGCGCAGCGCCCCGTCCTCTATCGCCTGTCTCAGGTACCTTTTCAGGAACAGCACCCAGTCCAGCACACAAGCCTCCTAAATACACACACACATACACACCACACATAGCCGCATACATCCACACACCAAATGAACAGAGAGAGACACACACACACGCAGAGGCGCACCCCACCCTCCATCGACACGCGTCTATAAGGAACCCTTTTGGAGAAAAAGCCTCAGAAAAAAAATCATAGTCCAGGTCACTACAAAGGCCGCAATTCTCGTTTCTTAAAAAGGAAAGGAAAACCCTCAAGCACCATTAAGGAGGATTGTTGTTTTGGCTCCGCTGCAGCCCGTGGCTTCTGCTGACGCAGGTGGACCGGGAGGGCCCGGCCCGGCAGCTGGCAAGCTCAGTGCCAATGGAGCCCCCAGCCACCGAGGGGGTGACTGGCCGAGCGGGACCAGGTGGCGGCATCGGGGCTCCCACCTCCCAACTGGGGTGCACTAGAATGCTCCTCTCCCAGACCCAGGACTTTCTGGGGTGGCGTGGATGCTAACAAACAATTAAGCAAGCCCCCACCCCTCAACCCCGGGCCCAGGTTCAAGCCCAGTGCCACTGACTCAGCGCTTTCTCCTTCCAAGACAGACAACCCCGAGGTGGAGGGGGAAGCAGGTGACGGCAGGCGGATGGATAGGCCTGGCCCGGACAGACCCCTGGCCCTCGAGGGCCCACTCTCCTGCCACCAGCCTTAGTTTCCCCATCTGTGAACCCAGGTTTCCAGCAGGAAAGCAAGATGCCCAGGTGGGAACAGCCCCTCTGCAGTAACTGAATTGTTTGCTCCTCTCTGAAACCCTGCGGCGCCCCCGCGCCCCCATCGCCACCCAGGTTCTCCCCAGACCCCACTCACAGCGATGCCTCCCAGCTGTCACCCCACGAAAGAAGCTCCCTCAGGGGCTCCAAACTGCCCCTTCTCCCGCCACTTTCTGCATCTGCTCAGCTGCTCAGCACAGTCCACGCGCACTTAATGCTGTTCTGCAGGTCGGTGCTCTTCCCCTGGGGGGGAAGGGTGCTACAGGCATCTCGCTGGTGGAGGCCAGGGATGCTGCTCAACACCCTGCAGTGCCCAGGGGGGCCCCCCAAAGAGAACCAGCCAGCCTGTGTGTCCCTGGTCCGGGCCGAGCGTACCTCTGAACAGGACAGTTTCTATTTTTTATCGTGGCACAAAAATATATAAGAACACATTTGCCATTTCTACATTTTTTACACGTATAATTCAGTGACATTAATCACCTTCGTTATGTTGTGCGACCATCACCCTTATCTGTTTCCAACAATTTCCGCCACCCTGAACAGAAACCCCGTGCCCCTTGAGCCCTGGTGGCATAACAGTTAAGCGCTCAGCTGCTAACCGAAAGGTTGGTGATTCGAACCGCCCCACCCCGCCCCTGCCGCCCCACTGGCTCCGCAGGATAAAGCCCTGGCGATCTGCTCCTGTAAAGATTACAGCCTAGGAAACACACTGGGTCACCATGAGTCAGAATTGACTCAACAGCACCCAACGACGACAAGAAGCAGCAACAAGGCGCTTGTACAACCCCATTTCACAGAGGAGGAAACCGAGGCCGAGGGGTGCAGTAACAGACTCGTGCTCAGAGCCCGCAGCTGGTGACTGTGGCTGATGTGTCCCACCTCTGCACCAGCTCTGCACCAGGGCCGAGCCTGGGGTCTGGGGTCTGGCTTGGGTTCCCAGGCAGGAGTGGTCTTGTCTTGAAGGGGCCAGGAGGGAGAATGAGTTAACCAGGGACTTTGGTGTGTTTTCCCTGAGCCGCCCAGATGCAGCACCCTTGCTCTCCTGCCAGGATGCAGAGCCGTGGGTTGGCGAAGGCCTCGGGGCCTGGCTTGTGTGACCACAGCTCCCTCTCCTCAGACAGGGCCAGCAGGCTGGCCTGACTGTGGGGCCAGGTCCTGTCTGTCAGGGCCGGGATAAAGCCGCTCATTCAGGGAGGGACACACAGGGCCTGCTCTGTCCGACGCCCACCGCTCCTTCCCTCCCTCCTCAGGGGGACTCTGTAGCTCCGCTGCCCCCCAAACCCCATGCACTCTTCACCCCAGCTGGGCCCGGGCAGTGGACACCCTTCTTGGCCCCTCCCCCTGGCTGGGGACATGCAGGGAAGCCAGGCTGTCTCCAGGGCCCTGCCCACACGAGGCCCGGGGGAGGGAGGCGGGCGGGCTGCCTTTGTCCCCATCCTCGGGCCCTGGCGGCCAGCGGAGCCCAGGCCAGGCGGCTGCCCTCCTCCTGGCGTTGTCTGGGGCTCAGGTGACGGTGGCGAGACGGGTGGCTGTGGCTGCAGGGCTGGCGGGGCCAACAGGCCCTGGGCCCTCACGCCTCAGGCCGGGGAGCGCTCGGTGAGGTCAGGATGCGAGGGCCATGGATGTGGCCCCTGAAAGCCGTCCTGACAGTTGTCCTCCTGACCCAGGCAGGCTTGGCTGAGCAGACTGGAGCATCTGATGTCTGGGCGCCCGTGTCTGAGAGTGAGAGAACCTCTCCCAGAATTGGGTGCGGGTCAAACAAAATGAGCACAGGGCTTCTCAAAGGGTACGTGTGACCACTGGGTCCCTGGGCCAGTAACCCATGAAGACACAGGCCTGGAAAATTCACAGGGGCTGAGAAGGGGAGGGAAAAATGAGATTGACTGCTGGGTTACGAAGGCCTAGCGTCCGGGCCCAGAAGGGGAACTCCCAAAAGTCACCAGGACTCAGGGCTACGGCTCAGGGCACCCCCTGCCCCAGGGGGACACCGACCAGCCCAGCCCTCTGCCCAGTGGTTTGGGCTCCAAGCCCTGCTGCGTGGCAGTGGGCAATCTGCTCCAGCTCTGAGTTTCTCTGAGAGACCCCTACCACCTGCTGCACAGGGCTGGGCGTGTGCTCAGCCCAGAGGGGGTGCCCCCTAAAGGCTCACATTATTAATGGGGCAGGGGAGAGGTGTTCACCAGCATCCCGGTTACAGCAGGCCGTGAGGGTGAGTGTTGTTGTGTCCCCTCGGCTGGGCTGTGATGCCCAGGTGTTTAGTCACATAAGATTCTAGACCTTGCTGTGAAGGTATCTGTGGATGTAATTAATATTAATATCAGTTGATTTTAGGCAGTAACCTTGGTCGATGCAAATGGTTTGCACTTGACTTCGAACCTAAAGACTGGCGGTTGGAACCCACCCAGTGGTGCCACAGAAGAAAGGTCTGGTGATCTGCTTCCGTAAAGATTACAACCGAGAAAAATCCCATGGGGCAGTTCTACTCTGTCACACACGGGGTGGTCGCCACGAGTCAGAATCAACCTGATAGCAACGAGTTTGGTTTTTGGTTTGGCAGTAAAGGCGATTGCCTTCCACAATGTGGTGGGCCTCATCCAATCAGTCAGAGTCTGAAGAGCAAAAACAGATTTCCCTTAGAAGGAATTCGGCCTCAAGGTGGTAACGTTGACATCCTGCTGGCGTTTCCAGCCTCCCGGTCTGCCCTACAGATTTCAGTATCAACTAGATTTGCAATAGCAGCTAGACTTGCCAGCCCCGACAATCGTGTGAGCCAATTCCTCAAAATAAACCACATATATCTATATATTATATATCTATTTATGTATCTATATATATATACACCCACACCCACACCCACACACATAACCCCCCCCCCCCGTGTCGATTCCGACTCATAGCGACTCCGTAGGTTTCCAAGGCTATAAACCTCCATGGAAGCAGACTGCCACATCCTTCTCCCTTGGAGCCACTGGTGGCTTTGAACCACTGACCCTTCGGTTAGCAGTCAATCGCTTTAACCACAGCGCCACCAGGGCTCCTTTGTGTGTGTGTAGTGGTTAAGAGCTCAGCTGCTAACTAAAAGGTTGGCAGTTGGACTCCACCAGCCACTCCTTGGAAACCCTGTGGGGCAGTTCTACTCTGTCCTATAGGGTCGCTACAAGTCGGAGTCGATAAGTCAGCACCGGGTTTTCTTTATCCTGTTGGTTCTGCTTTTGCTTCTCTGGAGAAGCTCGGCTGACACAGCCCAAACCCACAGACCTCACTGAGTGGCTCTGCAATTGCACAGCAAACAGCCCCTCATGGAGGGTCACAGAAGGCTTCCTACAATTCGGGCCTGGGGCTTGAAAGACCAGCTTTGTCTAACGGAGGAGGGTGAGGAAGAGGTGAAGGAAGGTAAGAGGTAAAGGCTTCCTGGGAGAAAGAAACAGCCTGGGCAAAGGCTTGGGAGCAGGGCTGTGCGGAACATTCCAGAACATGCCCAGGGCCACCCCTGGCCATGGGGTGCAGGTGCTCTGGTCTGGATGACAGCACCCCCCACCTGCCTTGGGTGGACGTAAACCCTCGTATCCAATAGGTGCACCACCCCAGCACCGGCTGGTGGAGGTATCCGTGACCAACACCTTCCCCCCAACCCCGGCTTGTTATTCTGGAAGGGCACGTGCAAATCCATGCTTCGACACCCACAGGCC